TGTTTAATGAGGCAAAGATGTGTTGCATTCTTTTATGTTGCATATGTTTAACTCTGTGAAGCTGTGTTACTTTGCCTGTTTAAAACACCTGGTTGGTCTAATAAAGAACTGAAGGGCCAATAGCTAGGCAGGAGAAAGAAACTGGTGGGGCTGGCAGGCAGAGAGAATAAACAGGGGGAGAAATTTGGGAAGAAGATTGAGGAGCAAAGAAGGAGAGGAGGATGTCAGGGGCCGGCCACCCAGCTATACAGTAAGTCACACAGTAAGAAGTAAAGAAAGGTATTAGAATAGAAAAAGATAAAAGCCCAGAGGCAAAAGGTAGATGGGATAATTTAAGTAAAGAAAAGCTGGTTAAAAACAGCCAAGCTAAGGCTAGGCATTCATAAATAAGAATAAGACTCTATATTTATTTGGGAGCAGGAGGGAGGGCCCAAAGACCAAAGAGTAAAACACAACCAACAACAAAATACCTCTACACAGATAAAAAGAAGCAACCAGATGAGCCCCAAGTACTGCTGACTTCGTGGCTTCCTTGAACATACTACATAGAAAATCCTGGCATTACCTGTCAGTCATCTGGCCCATTTTCACATCAGTCTTATATTCGTACATATAACACAAATGAAATATTAGCTGTCATGGGAAGTACTAATTTCCCACCAAACGACAATACTCCCTCTTAAGAATGACATTTCTTCAGGGCAAAAGTGGGTTCAGCTATCAAAACTCCTGTGTGATTCAGCAAATGAATAACCCTTTTCAGGGCGTGGGGTGGGGGTGGCTTATGGTTTCAGAGAGTCTCAGCCTATGGCAGTGGAGAGGCAGGATTTATTGATTCTTGACAGCTGAAACACATCATGGCGGCTCCTCACATCACAGCTCACTTAGTCTGCCTGCTACTGAAGCCGGGCCTGAAATCACCCAACCACCACCATTTAAACTATGAAATGTGTGATTCTTTTTCTACAACTCTTTCCCTTCAAATTAGGCTATCTGTTCTGGCATCGCTACATCTTAGTACCCAGAAGACTGCATGCCCTCCATGCCAAGTCGGTGCTCAGTAAACAGCAGCCACTTGAGGAAACAAAGAGAAGACACAGGAGGGGTTCTAGGTAAATGTCCTTAAAGGTACACCTCTGCCATGCCCCCTTCATTGGATTTCCACTCCTTGCCTCGAAGATGTAGCTGCCACTTTGAGATCGTGATAACCCTCCCTCACTGCTCCCATAAAAGAAAGAAAACAAAAACCAAAAACCACAACCTGGCTTCCTGAAGCTTGTTGAGTCATAGGACCAGTCCTAAGTATATGAATGGAAAAAAAAAAAAAAAAAAAAAAGACTCCAATAAAAGCGGCATTTCTTTATGTCACTGTGCGCCAAGCTTCCTGACACTCATAGTTAACCTAATTCCTCATAGATATAAATGATCTTTCCCAGCCAAGAAAAATAAAAAGAAAGAAGAGGCTTTGCTTTTCAGATATCTTTGAGAATAGCTGCTAACAAGAAATTTAGCTCATGTTCAGCCCTCATGGTCGCAGACACCAATCCAAGATGGGGAAGCGGACACTATGTCTCATCAATAGGTAATGTGGATAGTTGTGAAAACTGAAGATTCAGATGGAAGTTGCCTTGCTTCCTTGATGACCTTCTATGGCGGGAGGGTAGGAGCATGCATGTGGCAGGCCATGCAGCTCAGGGACAGAGCTCTAGCAGACAAGGTCCCGTGTCTCATCACCAATGCCACAAACAAAATAAGACCAAAACTTTCTTGCTGAAAATCAAGATGAATGAGGGTGTTTGTCAAAGTGATGATGGGGTGAGAGGATCTAGTTTCTCTTCCCACTGACCTATGCCTCCATCTGCCTTTCTCTTTGATTCTGTGTTGTGCTGGCCAAGCAGCCCAGAGCCTAGAAGCTTATATGCAATATAGAAAGGGGGCATCAGGGAATGTGAAGCCAAGAGTGCCAGGACTCCTCATTCTTTGTCCTACCCATGATAGACTCACCACACCCACCTCCCTTGGTCCAAGCTAACTTCCTCAAACTCAAGATTTAAACTATGGTTTATTTCCCCCACTAAAGAAATTCTTTTTTTTTTTTTAATTGAGTTGAGTTTTTAAGAAACGGACCTTGTATCATAATCCATGCCAGATCCCTGTCAGCATAGTTTTTACCTGGGAAAGAAGGGTGGGAAGCATGTGAGCTCTGGCCCCAAAGACAACTGGGAGACACTGGATCCAAAAGGCAGGAGCCATAGAGTTGGGTGCTCTCGGTCTTAGAGTTGCCTGTGGCCCCAGAGCCTCTGTCCCCCATGGGAAGGCTGTTTGTTGTAGAACATGCCTCCCTTTGTTTAGTAAGCTCTCCTACATGATGAATAAAAAACAGAACAACATTTCTGCCCACAATGCAACACTCTGAGTCAGCATGGTATTTTAGTTGGCAGACACTCAGCAGACACTAACCAGACATAACCAACTGGTTTGCCAGGCCATCTTCCACAGCCTCAACAAGCAACTGCAAAGCTGCCAGCCAGTGTTAGGGTGGGAGGCATCCAGGGATTTTCCAGTCAAACATATCTGTACTTTAAAGACCAATGAGTAACTTTTCAAAGCAAACCGTGCGTTAAATCTGTCCTAACTATATCCGAGTTAGACATTACAGAGTGATAGCTCATCTTTAAAGACAAGGTGAAACCTGAAATCCCTTAGAAGATTTTAATCGAAGAATAATTATCAACTAATAAGTGTTTTTCTACTTTACAGCCACTGTGTTAAAAATTGACTCAGGAGGAATTGCTGAAGCTAAAAACCTGGTAAAAGTTTGATGAGGGGCAGGATGTGCTAGAATCTCAGATATTCTCCCCAAAGAGTATTTGTTACAAAGAGAACCGCATTATTTCCCAAAGGAAGCCTGACAGATATCATGATAAACAGATCATCAAAATTCATTATCTCCAATCATGGGATTAGCAGGCATCATGAGCTGCCTGACGTAATGGACTGTGGAGAAGAAAAGAAACAAGAAAGCCCTCACATAAAACAACTAGCCTACTCTGTAAAGTAAAAAAAAAAAAAAAGTGGCAAGTTCACAAGAGACTAAGAAACCCTTTCAGACAATGCATGAACAAACCATGAATAACTTTTTAAGTGGTAGATTGAAAAAAAAAAAAAATACATGTCCCAGCATTGGGACAATGAGAGAAAGTTGAGCTCAAGTTAAGAGCCTCACTGTAAGTTTTCTTCTTGGTAAATGCCCTGTGGTTCTGTCAGAGAGTGTGTGTCTTTGTCCTTAACAAATACAAGCCAAAAGATTCAAGGGCTTTCAGGCTGTGATGTGTGCAACTCACTCTCAAATGGCTCAGCAACTGTGTGTGTGTGTGTGTGTGTGTGTCCCAGAGAGAGAAAACAAAAGAGCATACACACATCAGTAAGTGCTGATTCCAAGTGTGGAAGCTTTGTTTCGAGGTTAAAAAAGAATGCTATAATTTTCAAGAACCATTACTAGAGAAGCCAATAAAATGTTTTTAAAATTTTCAGAATGTTTAGAAATATTAAACCTGAACCAATGAAAAGAACAGAGGCAAAATGGCAGTACCATAGATGGAGAGATGGGGGTGGGGGGGTTGTCGACAGTGGGTGCGGTGCAAATTCTTTTGTTAACCTTTGAGGAGCCCACCAGTCTCTCCCTTGGCCACAGGAGTCACACTGCATTTCAAAGGAAGGGATATAAACACGGAAAACATGACTCGCCACCACTGAGAGAAAGGGATGCCCAGCTTAAGCTAGGCTCATCCAAACTGGGTGAGTCACTGCCCCCCCCCCTTGTTTCCTGAAGGACTCAGATGATCTGAAGGAACACCTGAGCCCTCTGACTCTATCACACCCAGTGACAGCATAGGTCAAGAGAACCCACAGCCCTTGTTCTCAGTGCTTCGCCAGCACCTCAGTACCTCCAGGATCAAAGGCAATGTCCACATACACCCATGGCCTACTTCAGCCTTAACAAGAGAAGGATCCTGGCAGGATACACATCAGCTCCATCAAGGGATGCTTAAGATAGTGTGTGCATCTGTCCTGTAACCTTTGCTTTTCATTGGCTCTTTGGTTCTAATGATATCCTTTATTCTTGACCCAAGCCTACTCAGCCCCTTAGTTCAGAGCTGCAGCTTTCTGGTAGAGCCGCATTCCCTCCTAGATGCTGGCTCTGCCAGCAGCACACACGTGGCCGGATTAGGCCAAGGGGGCTGTAAAGTACACACACACTTGCCCAGCGTGTGCTCCTCATTCCTAAAATACTTCATTCCTCAACCACTTCTCTGCCTCTCTTGGCACAAAACAGGACAAGTGGCTCTGGGCCAGAGGAAGTGTCTGCTTAGAGATGTGGGCTTTCTTTAAATTTCTTTACTTCAGAAAAATCACTAGCACAACTACAATGGAATGAAATAGAAAGAGGAAAGCCTGTAGATAAAGACACCTAGTTTTCCTTTTGTAAATTGTCTGAAAATAAAAAACCTAGCATTACCTTTTAAGAGAACAGAAATTATAGAGCCTGAGTTAAGGACGAGAAAACAGAAATATTTTTTTAACAGAAAAGGTTCACGCACATACATGTGCCAGATTCTCACACACGTATCACATTTGTTCGGAGGTGGCATACCCAAATGAGTTGTAGGGAGGCCTTTCAAAATCATTGCTTTGGTGAGAATGTATTTTATCTTTGGACTTGGTTCCTTCATGCTTTTCATTCTCTATTAAAAGCTAGGGTCAAAGATGAAAGCCCATCCCAATTGATTTACCTGCCCTTTCCCTTCATTCCAGGGATTTATTTGGGACTCCCTTCGAGACCAGCTATGCAAAATCAATAGCGGCAGGCAAGCCCAGCTGAGCTATAAAGCCCACCTTGGTAGATGTGCCACACAGAACATGTTAAAGAATATCACATCCAACTCCAGCCCAGACGCCTCCCCCATAGCTCCGACTCAAGCAGAAAGAGAGTGACTTACTTTCTTTCCACTTCTGGTGTTGAGACAGCACTGCAGAAGCCAAGGGACTCCTAGAAGAGAGAGAAGGTGGCAGTGTCAGTAAGGGACAGTGGAGTCTAGTTCCTACAGAATATCACTTAAGAGAAGAGACAGAAGCCAAAACAGATGATGAAAAGTTGCTGTGCTTACTTCTAGCTGGGACCGCAGCTGAAGTGACGTGGGGCTGGCGTTGGGTTTCTCCTAAAACAGAACAGATGCAGCTTTAATGAGACGTCCAAACGTGGCACACACAGAAAGATAAATACATGTGTAAGAAGAGAAGGGAGGATTTGGGAAATACTCCACAGTACAGTGGGAGGAGATGGCAGAGATAAATGGATTCTCTCGAAAACCTGATGTGCTTTTCAAATGGAAACACAAGTCCCTTAGAACTCAACTGCTTCCCAAACTTTACTGTTATACTCTGCTCACAGTTTTACTCCACACAATCACCAATCAACCAAAGGGAATTGACAATTAATGGTGAAATAATTCTCTGGATACACTGGACCATCCTCACTAGACATTGAGTTTACTGCAGCTGTTGGAGTTGAGTTTATTTTTCAATAACATCAGAGTTCCAGCCTGATTGTTTTCACATTTACTTAATTCTATTTATTGGGGAGGGGGGAGGGCACACACTGGTGCCCTGGCATGCATGGGGATGTTGGAGGTCAGCTTTTGGGAGTCAATCCACTCCTTCCACCATGTGAGCTCCAGGTATTAAACTCTGGTTGCCAGGGTTGACATCCAGTGTTTTACCTGCTGAGAGAGCCATCTTGGCAACTCCCGATCTGATTTTGAAATTCTGAATCCATCCAAAGGATTCAGTAATGTAAGTCTTGTTGTAAATGTATGTTAGAAAGCTGGAAGACTAACGGGATATTATTTCAGCCTTTTTTTAAAAAAAAAATCACCATATATATTACAAATGAACTGGCCTGCTTGCAAATTTACAAAAGCCCTCGGCTTGCAGGTGATGAATGACATAAAAATGCATGAAGTCTCGAGTGTATTGAGCAACATTAAATCACAAGGACAGAGGACTCCGTTTCAAAGATAAAGACCATGTCCTGTAAACACCCTTGTTTTATAGTAAGAGGATGTGTTTCCCTTGAAAATATGAAACAAAGGGGGAGAGAAATGAGCTACATGTGATGCAAACAATGGGCTTTGGTGGTTTAAGTGTGAAAGTTGTACTAAGGAGCATTTGGATGTAATTAGAAGGAAACAAGAGCCATCCACGGAGCACAGGGACTAACCCTAGTGTTTTTTCCAAAGAGACTAGAGACTAATGACTAATTCTGAATCAACACAAAGAACACAAAGGCTTATCTCTTCTTCTTCTTCTTCTTCTTCTTCTTCTTCTTCTTCTTCTTCTTCTTCTTCTTCTTCTTCTTCTTCTTCTCTTCTGGTTTTTATTCTGGTTTTTAGGGTAGGTTTTCTCTGTGTATCTCTGGCTGTCCTGGAACTCACTCTGTCGACCTGGCTGGCCTCAAACTCACAGAAATCCACCTGCCCCTGCCTCCCAAGTGCTGGGATTAACATGTACCACCACCCTTTCAAAGGCTTATCTTACCCGAGGCAGATCCACAAAGGGGCAGCTCTGAAACAAACATTTAGAAACTGCTTCCACCAAAAACCATTGACTCTTCACCTGGGCCCACAGGTAACTAAGAGCAGCATGAAACCCTGGCACCCTTGCCCTCACTGAGTCCCTGTCTGCCCCCTTTCCTTCATAGAAGGCATAAAGATAGGTCACTGTCCTAAGTCTGTGGGCATCTTAGATTCCTAGAAGAACAGATGTCCAGAATTATTCATAATGGAGAGACCACACACTGGAGTAGGACTGTTCCTCTTACAGAGACCAGATCCATCCTCTTATGGCAGTAACACATCTTCAGACCACTTTCACAGAACCAAGACAATGGCCAAGCAAACCACACTTTGACAAGGACTGAGCACCCATGAAGACTTCTGATCCCTCTAAAGCCCATGCCAGTACACTGAAGATGGAGTTGGAGTCACTGGGAGCTACCCAATATGGCTGGCTACATTGACAAAATTTTCTGATTTTTAAGATTATTTTTTGATTGACATATTGAGATGAACAGTTGAGCCTAGCTTACTGAACCTACTGGCTGGGGTCAGGTTTTTGCCCTAAAACTCCAGTTACTGTTAGAAGATACATACATACATACATACATACATACATACATACATACATACATACATACATACATACATGTGTGTGGGTGCTTTCAGAAGATACATTTAAACTTTTGATTTGTAAGAAACCTGAGTTCTGAGTAAGCCTCAGGCCTCACCCCTCTGCAGCGTCAGAGAGACCAGTTGGGCAGCACTGGCATTTTGAAACTACCACTTTGAAGTCCCTTAGAGGAAGGACTAAGGCCCCTGGATAGTTCTGCCTTTCCCACCTCTGTCTGATTCCCTCCCTAACTTGGCCACTTCGCAATCTCCTCTATGCTGCTAGTCACCATTACTCACCTTTGAAATTGGCAAACTGGGGAGAAATGGCTGAGCCTAGTGTTTCAGAGTTGCCAGAACTCCAATTATCAGGCTATGGTTACACAAAGCTCTGGTTCTCATCCCCTGATCAACTTGGCATAAGACGATAGGCACATCTGGCAGAAGCAGTATCATTAGCTATAGTTTAAAGATGCATCCTCATAAGCATCTGATTATGCTTAAGGGTCATGGTTAACACAAACACAAAACACCAGCAGAGAAACTTTGCTGAAGGAGCAAGGTAGCAGAGAACTAAGGACAATCTGGAGCAGCACTAGAGGTAAGAGGATGTGGCAGGAGTCGAGCCCAAATACAGGCCATCTCCGTCAGTGTGCTTTCTCATGGGGCCAAGGGGCGGGTTCTGGGATCCTACTGCCCAACCCTGTGTATGTGGTGGGTGATGCTGTACTGCATACATTGGAACCAGAAGGAGGGTGGGCTACACGCCATGTAGGCTTGTTTTGTTCTTGCCAAAAGGAAAACAATGAATATGCCAGAATGAGTAGATCTGAAGAGACAATTGTGGGGAAACAGCCTGAATGAGAAGGAACATCTTAAGGGACTGGCTGCTCACTCAGCCCGTCCCACACCCTAGCTTATGAAGCACCATAGAACTCCACTGCCCTCAAGGACCTGCTGGGTTTTTTTCCTTACTTATATGCTTGTTTGTTTATTATTGTGACAAGAGGAGTGTGAGTGTGCCACTGAGTGTTTGTGGAGGTCAAAGGACAACTTTGGGAACTGGCTCTCCCCTTGTAGTGTGGTTTCCAGGAATTACACACAAGTTGCCAGGCTCACACAGGAGGTCCTTCACCCTGAACCATCCTGCCAGAGCATCCTCCTAGTTTTTATTCTTGCCATTGTCCATTGTATTTGTATTTCTGTACCAAACTTGACACAAAATGTTGACAAGGCAGTGTTCAAAGTCCAACTGTTTCTGCATAGATCCCTGGTGCAATCAGCATTCTTGGTGCCTACAGCCCTATCTGGAAGCCAGATACTTTAGCCTTGGAAACAATACATAAAGAACTTTCAAGTTTCAGAAAGCATTTTTGTAACCAAAACTACTATTTGCAAACACATAACAACTCAAAACAAAACCAGCTGCTTGCCCAAAATCAAGGGATACACACAGATGTGCTTCCACCTGCTTGCCCAGGTGCACACATGTGTAGTCCAGTTACATTAACAGCACATGGGTCAAATGTAACGCTTAGGCACTGAGATTAAATGAATATATTTTGTTCTAATGTGTTCAAGCCTGCTGTGTGAAACACCAGACTCCAAACCCACCTGAGGGCAGAAATAAGGTCCTGGAAAATGGTTTTCATGCCCACCCCACCCGGCCAGCTGTTTCCAAGTTCTTGTGGAAATTCACATTTCTCTGTCCCTTATTGCTGCCAGGATCCCACGCCAAATGAACCTTACAGCTGGAAAGGAAGGAGGAACAAACCACTGTGCTGTTCCAAAGGCAGAGAGGAAGAACACCAAGCACCCACCAGCTCAGCTCAGGGCCAACTTCTCCTCCTCCATAAGGACCACAGGAAGGAGGTGGAAAAAGTCAGGCTCCATGGCTTGCTTAGCAGAACATAAGGAAAAAACAGAACGCCACATGCTCTCGCTGTATGCTGGATGAACGCAGGGAGCCTAGTAGCTGACAGTGGTAAATTTGAAAAGCACTTTAGGGCCAGTGAGTTGGCTCGATAGGTAAGAGTATTTCTTCCCAAACCTGATGACCTGGTTCCCACATGGGATGGAGAGAAGCAACTCCCTCAAGTTGCCTTCTGATCTTTCCCTGAGTGTTGTGTGCACAAACACATACTCACAGAAATGAAACATGTAATAGAACATTTTCTATAAAGAAGCTTTCCTTAAGAAGTCGGTATGATGACCTAGCTGGCAAGATCTCAGCAGAGATCCTTATAGAGACACACAAACAAACATAAACTAGACAAACAGAGAACTAGGGAGGAAATTGGCAGGCAAATAACCTACTCTTGCTCTGACTGGTTTCCATCTTATTTTAAGGGGATCCACAACTTCAAACACCACTAAGCTCTTTCTCAGCTCATAATGCCAGCCTCTTTCTCTTAGATTTAAACACAAAGACAACATTACATCTTTAAATTCCAGACTCAAAGAATAAAGTCTTGAGAGTTCACAGTGAACACCTTATCTCTCTAGTTGCTATGGAATGCCTGCCTCTGGGTTAACCACCCTTTCCCAGAACATAAAGCACATGGTCCAGGGAGAGGCAATGGCAGAGCAACCTGAAATTTGACAACTATAAAATCCTGATTCCAACAAGTCCTTTAGTACTTTTTAAGCTTAATGCATTGCAGTGCCCTGGGTGATAGTTTAATACAGTTCATTGGGTCTAACCCCCTGCCCTGACTCTTGGTCTAATAGAAGATGACACCCAATGCCAACATCTGGCCTTCACACCCATATGAGTGGGCAAGCACCAACACACACATGTGCACGCCTGAAGGAAAAAAAAAAAAAAAAACCTCATAACTAGTTGTTATACTAGTTGAGAAAGAAAATTTAAAAAAAAAAAAAAAAAAAACGGGGTCTCAGGAGGTTGAGACAAACGTCAAACTTTAGCCCATGGCAAACTTTTTATAATAAACGCTTGCGAGATCGGATTTATAATGGAAACACAGGCAGGG